ACCGCGGACAATGCTAAAGATTCACGCCTTTTACATTGATCATTACAGCAATTGATTTACAAACTGTTATGTCATATATATATAATGGATCTGTTAGAGATTTATCATACTTAAATTAATGTATTCAACAAGATTGGTATTACTCCGACTGTTAAAGCTGTACAATAAAAATAGTTTTGCTATTCTAAAATTTTGCACATTTTACGCAAAATGGTGTTATTAAATTTTGAGGTGTCATATTTTGGCATTTCTCATTTACAGTGTGTAAAATTAATGCTAATATCATTCAATGTTGTTCAATGTATTCGGTGTTTTCTTGTTTCCGAACACAAGCGTGACAACGTAACTGCCAAAGCGTCTTCAGAACTGTGGCAGGCGTGCGCCATCTACAGGAACCAGAATAATGTTATATCTAGATTAAATGGGTCTGTACTGTATTGTGTTGTTATCCTTTACGCCATTTGTCTCATAGTCATTTCAGTACAACATATACATGTATATAGTACTTAATTAGCTATAGCGTGCGTTATAGAATCTTTAGACAGATGAGGGACAACGCAATACGGAGCTTGGTTTATATGATCTTGTGCTAATGAGCTTTAAGACCAGGCTAATGTGTTTATTTCTGAATTGCATTAATCTCAGACCAAAACTTGTACTATCTAAAACAGTCATTTCATATCAATTAAACATATTTATTCAATATATTTTTATGTTAAATATATGATTTATTAAACGTGAGCATTTGATATGAGCGAGCCGGAATTATAATTACACAGAATACCCCTCCTGGTTAGCTGCTTGTATACATTTGCGAAATGAAGAGTGGGTTCCCATGTAATCTGACAGCCGATTTTAATTTAACTTTTAGCGATTAAAGTTACACATAACTTTAGCTAATTGTCGTCTTTCTCCAATATTTTCCTTATTTTCTGTTCTTCTGTTTCTGCCTGTTTCTGCCTCGGCTTAGAACTTACATAATGGATTTTTTCTGTATTAACAACTTATAGTGATCAGTAATTTTAGATTGTTTAGCATAAGATAAATGTTGTATTGTTTTCATTTCATCGAAGATCAAAACATTTTATAGACTATCGACATTTTGGTCTAAATATCATAATACATGAAGTACAAACCACATAGTCTAGATTTACACCATTATCACATGATATTCAATTTAACAAACATCATTTTAGGATAATATACACTGTAATACCGAGTCCGTTTTTTGAAGTAAAATACTATATCATAAAAGTTTTAATTAACCATAGAGAACTTCAGTTTTGAATTCTCTATAATGTTATGTTATAATTACTTGTCCACGGGTTGTCTGGTTGATGTCTATGTTAACATGCTCATGTGGAATAAACGGCTTGTCCGGTTTTTTTAATGTAACCTGCATTTGTCAAGGCTCGCCTGAAAGCAGCGTCAGATATGACTAGGTCAGGCCTTATAGCATAAACGAACAACTCTGGTCCGACCGGTTCAACCGTTTGTATTAATTAAACACTGCAATTACCTATATAGTATTGATTATTGATTATTGATTATTTAGCATCAAATGTTGATAACTTATCACTTGTACATTTGTGTATATCAATACGTTATATAAAATAGTTTATTATGAAAAGAAAATCAATATTTTCCCTATAGCGCTTTAGAGTAATTTTACAAATTATATAGGGCGCTATATAAATGTTGTATATTATATATTATCATGTGCATTTATGACTTATATAACTTTTTCATAAGTTATCTATTGAATTTGATTTGAATGCCAGACCATATTAGAAAGAAGATGTTTAGCTGTGTAAGGGAGAGGTATATTTGTCATGGCTAAATACTGTAACTAACATGATCGCGTCATTTTTCTTTCCTTGCAATCGAAGATAGGAAACCTTTAATAATAAACTGTACCAGATTTGGAATATTTCATGAAGAGAAAGTCAATAGTATTTTCTATATATATATGTATACGTTTCGTAAAACATATCTTACATGTTCATAAATATTTTTTTTAAATTGAACAAAATGCCAGACCATATTAGGTGAACGTAGATGTTAAGCATATTCGCGTGACGATTGTTATCCATATTTATCCATCTTCAGTTATAGCTGGTCAATATGAAAAAAAAGTTGTGTCAATTACATTTCTTAAAAAAATGTCCAAAATCTTAAATCAGGAATTTGTGCCTCATTATACCGACTGCTAAAATATTTTAATTATAATATGTTTATTTGAAGCAGAATTAACAACATTTTGCATTCATTATTACATGAATTAGTCCAGTTCTGGTGAGTGAAAATGTCTCTTAATATGCGTAAAAATACGAACCTATTTTAGAACAAATTCGTTGGATTTATCAGGATGTTTTTCTTGCTATATATTATATTTATTGCATATTAAAATTTAACACATTATCAAAACATAACGTGTTCATATAGTTTTTAAATACCAGTATCCACATTAAGTCAATGGAGCGAAATTTGACCAAATATTTGCTTCACATCCAACACAGGAACAAAGGTTTTATCTTTTAGAATTCTAAATATTTTTTTCTGAAAGAAATACTCGTAATTTTAGATGTTGACTGTATATATACCAACGCATGATATGTATATGCAGGTTTGGAAATTTAGTTTTATAGATATTTGCGAGACGATGATTTTATCCATCAAAATCGTAAATTGTACCTTAAATCCGTTGATTTCATAATAAAAAGTATTCAAAAATAAAAGTTGGTTCAGTAAAAATTCACAAACAAACATTGATATTTAACATTCTCAAAGGGTAGACGATAGTATGACCGAGAAAATAAAGTAAAACGTGACTGAAACAGTAGATTGTAATACAGACAACCAGTCTTGTCTGTCATCAAAACATTCGAATGTCACTTAAACTGTATCATCGATTTATGACATAGAATTTAGTTCTACAATTGAAATAAATCCAATTTCTTGATTGAACACAATTCATAGAAATGCCAGTATTTACCGATTATAACCTTGTCAAAAACGATCTCAATATTTATTCTTCAAAATTGAATATGAAAAATAACCTGTTTTGGATATAAATATCTGAATGTCAGATGTGTTGACTTGTAAATAAAGACCGCACACCACATATCGATTATAAACATAATTAATATGAAATTCATTAAATTGAGACACAAAACATCATGCAATATAAAAATAATAACAAATAAGAGATGTTAAGCTCTAAGCTTGTTTTCCCGTCCATTATTTGTATTTGTATCTGTGATATTGTTGATTATTGAATAAAATATTCTTTAAACTAAAAGATATTCAAGATGTGTAGTGTTGGTGTATATTTGTCCAAAGTGAGACAGGTGTTGTGTTTTATTCCTTGTGAACTGACCCTCTTAAATTTCATTTAAACATTTCTTATTCCATATTTTATTCCAATTTTTAACGATTTATTTTTAATTTTTAAACCTAAATAACAACTCCGTTGATTTACTGTCTTTGTACACAGAAATTTAAAAGTGGTTGCTATTATATTATAAAGTTAGTTGAGTTTATTTCGAGACTTAGGAAGGAACATTTCAAGTCTGTATTTACGTTAAAAAAGGACGCTGGAATGAATGAATTTATTTATTTATTTACATATTTTTTTCCTATCTAAAATATTCTAATTTTTAAATAGTGGTTATGGTTTAAATTGATAGACGTAATAATCCTACATATCTTGACGTGAAATCTTCAAGTACATTTTGGCATAGTTGATAAATAGGGCGAAAAGTGAGGAGAGAAACTGTTGTTGATAACTAGAACAATTTAGGGGAAACGCTAAAACCGAAGTATACTCAATTACCGGATATATATATAAATTAATTAAAATTATATAAATTCAAAAATGACGGATATATACATTGTTTAAACCTGTCCCCGATCCCGGCGCTTAGATACGACATATATCGATTTCTGCTACTCCGATGAGCCAGAGTCCCTGTAAGTCATTAGCAGATATCGCCCCAGCAAATGTAATCATAATAATGATTCACTAAAGTTATTTATTATGATATTAAATTGAATTAAATACTTCATTAACTTTGATTGATATTTATATCAGTGTAATTTAACATAAGAATTTCACAACAAACGTTAGAAATTTATATATATTCTCTATATTTTGTCAAGATGTTTTGAAATGAAAATTAAACGATTTTTATATTGCCATTTATTTCTTAACTTGTCCACCGTTAATATTTCATGTTTATAAATAATAACTGCATTATCACAGAAATTATTTACTACATTTATAATAAGTTTGATATTTGATATAATTAACCATTTAATCTCAATTTTGATACTGGATGGATCCTAATACAAAAAAAAAAAAAATGAATTGTATATGTAGCTCAAATCTTCTATTTTAAATGGTAAATTTATCCTGAAATAGTGTAAACTGTGAATTAAAAATAGTACTTCATATCTTATAAATTATTTCAATGTATGTACATACCTGGTTTAACAGACATTGACATTTATAATGGGAAGAAGCTCCTATTAGTTCCATGTGGATCTATATATGATCGGCGAGTAAAGGTATATGAGCTATTTCTTGAAAACCTGCATGTTAAATTTAGATTAGTTGTAGAAATAAAATGAATTGCAGAAATTTTCTATATTTCCTTTTTTTATAACTGATCAGTACAAATTAGTTTTTATGAAACTTAGGTTATTATTTTAGCTGGCACAAAGAAATAAATTTCGTTTTAAGTTCTTTGAGTTAAAATCATTTGTATGCATTATGTTTCTCTCAAAAAAATAATTAGCTTTGTCAGTTAATTTGATTTCTCGATTTTCAACAATTCAATTTAGTTTAATCTGATGTCCCTTAAAAACTTAAGAACACTGCAGCTAAAATTGAATCTATGTTTTAATATTGTCAGATATTTTATAACAAATTATGGGATAAGAATTTGTTTGAAAACTCCGGCTGAACGTGTTGACATCCCCCAATAAAAACAACTTACCGACAAATTTAGAGATGAAGAAGTACAAGTGATACACTGTCGTGAAAAAGTCTTTGAAGCATCTTCAGTCCAAAAAGCTAAAGTTCTGTCCCGTTTTATAACACCAGTTTATCAAATCGTTTCGAGAAAATCCCAAGATATGTTGTCGAATTTGTAGATCTGGTAGGTACAAGGCCACGTGCTTCATCTATAGTATTTACATCACTAGTGTATTGGATCCATTCGTTAGGGAACTTCGAAACACAAGAGATATTTCCATGATGTCAGGTCCGTGGGACGTCTTTCAAAATCCAATTTTTGAAATAAAACAATCCACTCGAATAATAAACCGTAAAAACTCGATTTTGCTAGAAGGAAGGAAACACTCCTTCAGAGTTATGAAAAAAATAAAATTACTGAAATTTTATAAAATTCGTTGGAATATCTCGATCCCTTGATCCCGTCGTAATGTCATGTCTCTTCAAAGGACCAAACTCTCAAATATACAGATATGTACATGTTAACGAGGTGGTCAAGAAATTCGGCCATTTTGAGCTATTTTGATATACCTATTGTACTGATAATGAATATTCATGAGATACAATTGTCCAGCTGATGACGTATAATCGGTGAGAGAGCTCTACGTTGAGGTACCGACGGGGTATCTTTGATCGTTACTCGATTTCTAACCCATCGACATCGTATTTTAATTCAATCAATAAGTTTATACTATTTTCAATGTTCTACCGCTCGTGTAACAGGACATATTAGATCGCTCTCCAATCGGTATCATAAATTGTCCTAGTGACACGGTTTTTAAAATTTCATTTCAACAGTACAAGTATTGTGTGCTTACTGTACGAAACAGATATTGTTTTTTCATTAATATCGGGATTCCTGGCAGCGCTACCCTTAATATCTAACTACGTCTTTAACCATACATGGAGTTACTAGTCTACATATACGTTTTGGTTGTTTACAGAAGTAGATAGAATTCCACGAAAACATCTTAGTTTGGTGATTAAAGCTGACCATATCGTACCAACACAGTGCCGTACAGATCAAGATGACCTTATAATGCGGACACCTTAAAAAATAACCTGATCCGATTGTGTTTGTGATAGCACCGAGCTCCGGACATTCACCCAGCGACAGACATGTCAATTGCACTTCGGTCGACTTGTATTACGTCACAACAATAACAAACCCGACAATTCTTTGTAACGACCCTACTGATTGGTTGTTTAAAAAAACTCAACCAACAATGGCGACTAATTGCACTACCAGGAATTGCCGTTATCCCGTCTGGCGAAAAATCGAAACAATACAAAAAAACCGTGAGTGTATACGTTAATACTTAAAGCTGTATCAGTGACACCTGTGTTTGTGTTCTACCTTTGGTTGTTTGTGGTTATTTATCTAACTAATAATAGAAATTATATCCTCCAGGTCACGTGGAGTCTGGCAGGAGAATTATTGAGGAATCGAGGATAAATACGACCATTATCGTTGTACAAGTGGTGAATGGACAGGTGCTCTGTAGACTGTAGGTGACATATGTTATAAATATCGAGATACGTGTTATAAAGATTGGACACGAGGGTTGACGTCCTCTTAATTACTACTTTGTTTGAATCATTTGTATTGCTTTGTACAAACGATAACAAATATTTTATATACTAATAATCATCAATAATTTTTGATGCAGTTTTTGAATTAAAGATATGTAATTGTATATTGAGACAACAGGAGACAGCATATTAAAATTTACAAATCTGTAAAACATGTCTATCTTAATTATAATGATGAAATGTTATTGCTAGTTTTAATGTGAAGACTTTCTCTTTTGATATTTATTGCGCATCTCTGTGACAATGATATCAATCGTGTCTCGTAGACCAATTAGTGGGTTCGGGATAATTTTTATTGTTGCGGCATAATTTGTATAAGAAAAAAAATGTAAAAAATCGTGACATGCTAATAAATAATTTATTCTTTTCATAGGAATTTTGAACAAGTACATGGCCTCGTTCTTCTTCCTTTTTCCCTTTCCTCCGGTTACTGTCATAATGTTACTGCCGCCACGATTTTACTTGATAATTTACCCAAAACAAAAGATGAAATAGCAATTACTGATGATGGTTACCGATATATTTAATTATTGATAGCGAAACCGGTCGGCTGTCACCGTGTGAAAGGGTGGTAATAAAAAAGTGATTCCTCTCAGTAAAAAGGGCACTGCTTCTCAATATCTTAAACATCCCCCTCATTCATGATATAAATAAACTAAATTGATAAAATCTTGGGAGTGTTCATCAATAAAGGGAATCTCTATGAACTGCTAAATATTGTAGTATAACAATGTTGGATTATTGAAAGTAATGATGTTTATACACTTATGAATATCAGTAATATATATATATAAGAAATTATTAGATTAAAATTTATGTAACAATGAAAAAATCATGTTCAGTATGCTTTCTTCTGAGGTTTAAATCACGTAAAAAAATACTCATCATAATTAAATTTAAAAAGCAAAAACTGGATGTCTGTTGTTGGTAGATTTTCTGACGTGAATTTTAAAATATGACCTATTCCGGCGGCCATTTCGAAAATGTGTATTTCTTGCGCGTCACTAAATGCCAAAATTTCACATTTTTGACACTAGGGGCCTGTTCGTTTATGCGGAACAACCGGTTAGTCCGTTTTTAAATGTAACAATTTCGGGTATTAAGCCTGGTGGACCTGCAAATGTTTATGCAGGCCTTGCAATGCTTTGTAAAATGCTGGCCTGAAACAGCATCTGATTACTAGGTCCGACCTTATTTCTTAAACGAACAGCTCTGATCAAACCGGTTCAACCGCTTACATTGTAAACGAAACTGCCTAGATTAACCACTAAAATGTAGCAAGTCAATTGTTGCTGTACAAGTTTATAATGTTAAGTATAATGACTGTTATATGCAACAAAATCAGAATTTAATTCATGATTTGTATTTTTTTTAAACTTATTTAGTGTTATGGAATTTCATTGATTTTTTGACCCCGCAAAAGGTAAAAATTCTCACAATAACAATTTGACAAAAAAGAAGCACACGGACCTCCTATTTTTGTGTCTGTTTTAGAAAGAAAAACGCATTTTCCAGTCATTGATTATTAAAAGAAAGTTTAATGGCAGAACTTTCTCTATCAAGCGTTAAATCTGCAAACGCTGGTGATAAATGAGATTGTTTTTTTTATTTAAGATGAGGGGAAGGGGAAACCAAAATCGCTTTTCTGAGATTTAGGAATAAAATAAAGATATTTGACTTTCATAATTTAGAGGAAAATTATATTTTTAATACATATGTGGTTGTGGAAACATTCATATAAATATGGTAACACACGTGGAAGATATTGTATGAATTTGTTCAGCAAATGGTGAAAAAAACCCACACACCAACAATCATATGTTGTGTTAAATTGTTATTTTTGACCGATAAAATTACGCGGACAACTTTTCTTCTGCATTTTCTACCATGCCATCAGCTTTTTTTCCCCCAAAAATGCATACAAGTAAAAGTGATTTTTTTTCAATATTTTTATAATATTTCAGAGGAGTCCATCCTTAATTGCTTTAAAAACTTGGCATCAAACAATTTTAATGCAATTTATTATATTTTCAGAAATCCGGTAGCTCATTTAAATGAGATCTTACTGACTCTCTGTCTTTCGTTTATTTGTCTGTCTGTCTGTCTGTCCTACTCGCCCTTTGCTGCCTTCTTCAATTGTCTTTATCTTTTCTGTTGTCCTCTTTGCCTCAAGGACTCCATGCTTGTTTTTGAATTCTTGTATTATATATATTATTTGTATTATTGACAATAAAATAAAGTTTAAAATCAATATCTGCCTGTCTGTTGGGTTTTTATCGTGGTCCCGTAGACGATATATAGAATACCGTTTACTTCATTGGACTTGTTTTAATTCAAAACAATCAGAAAATAATGTTAAGGATCCCCGTCCCAGCCAGAGCAAAACACTCTGAAAAACTACCGCAAGGTATGGGTTATTATTCAGAAATGACATGGTTATGCAATAGCGATGCCGTAGAAAGAAAAAAAAAATGCCTCATTATATTTTTAGGCGGAGGGACGAGGATCCTTAATTGAGGAAGAGACGTCTGGTACACAACAACAGAAAGCAATACATTTCACAGTTTTGGATATCCCGCCTCATCTGTAGTCTGAAAGTGGTGAAGAAAAATTGATAACAAGTCGTGAAAATTTAAAATCACTCATCATTGGTATTCCGTCTTTGCGTATTGCAGAGCTATCTTCTCTTGGGAGCAGGTATTGATTGTTACGTCACTTGTTTGTGAGAGTAATGTCATCCATTTTTAGAAAACGACGTACTTTTCTCGCACAAACCAATGACGTAACAATCAATACTTGCTCCCAAGAGAAGATAACTCTGCAATACGCAAAGACGGAATACAGATAGGTATGGACTTCAGAGCCGCAGCCTTGACACGTTGGGCGGTTTTTTTTCATTGTATTGTCAATCTATGAAATATATCGAATAAATAATACAATATTATAACGAATTTTACACTATTTTGGGACGAATGAATATTCAGAGATTGACAAAGGATTTATTTCATATATAAAAATGGCTGTTTCATATACAACATATACTTAATATTAATCTGAAGCGAAATATACTATCCTGTAGTTAAGTATCTAATAGTTATGCAAGTTTCCCAAAGTAAGGTATGCCGGAGACAATTCCAGTATTCCGGAGTCAATTTTGGTATTTCGGATTCAATTGAAGTAATCCAAAGTCAATTTTCGGAGTTAATTGTAGTATTACGGAGTCAATTCTATCATTCCGGAGTCAATTTTAGTATCCAGGAGTAGATTTTAGTATTCCGGTGTCAGTTTTAGTACACCGTTAGTATTCCGGAGTCAGTTTTAGTATCCCGGAGTTAGTTTTAGTATAACGGAGTCAATTTAATTAAGTATTCCGAAGTTAGTTTTAGTATTCTGGATTCAATTTTAGTATACCGGAGTCTATTTTAGTATCCCGAGTAAATTTTAGTATTCCGGAGTTAATTGTAGGATTACGGAGTCAATTCTATCATTCCGGAGTCAATATTAGTATCCAGGAGTAGATTTTAGTATTCCGGAGTCAGTTTTAGTACACCGTTAATATTCCGGAGTCAGTTTTAGTACACCGTTAGTATTCCGGAGTCAGTTTTAGTACACCCTTAGTATTCCGGAGTCAGTTTTATTATCCCGGAGTTAGTTTTAGTATAACGGAGTCAATTTAATTAAGTATTCCGAAGTTAGTTTTAGTATTCTGGATTCAATTTTAGTATACCGGAGTAAATTTTAGTATTCCGGAGTCAATTTTAGTATTCCGGAGTCAATTCTGGTATTCCGGAGTCAATTTTAGTATCCAGGAGTAGTTTTAGTATTCCGGAGTCAGTTTTAGTACACCGTTAGTATTCCGGAGTCAGTTTTAGTACACCCTTAGTATTCCGGAGTCAGTTTTATTATCCCGGAGTTAGTTTTAGTA